AGTTACTATCCTAATGTCTCATTTTTATTTTAGTTAGTTTATATGTTTTTAATAATTGTAAAGCGCTTAGAGCTTTAAGGTAAGCGCTATATAAAAATGCCTAAATAAATAAATAAATAAATTGATAATTTCTTAAAGCCCTCTATAATTTATTATTTATTTATTAATTCTGGGATTTCTTGCCCGCTATGATTGTGACCAGAGCCCCCCAACAAAAAAATAACAGTTATGAATTAGCTTCGTAAAGATTATTTTTGACAGTTTTACACATATAACATGCTCTAAATTACATAAGTTACATTCTTACAATTTATGAGAATGGTATATTTAGATTGGAGCTTAAGATGAAATGGGAGCTTTAGTTTTAAGAATTTTTGACTTTTTTTTAGTTGCCTCCTTCATCCAACTGGGCAGCTCAGCAACACAACACACAAAATTCCCCATCACAGTCAAAATCATTGACAGAAATTCAGGAAGAAGAGGCAAGAAGGGATGAAGAGAGGCAAAGAGAGGTAAAAAAAAATGTATCTTTGGTTTTGATTTAACAGCTATTGATATATATGTGTGGTGTTGCTGTCAGTCATAATTGCTATCCCTCTCTAAGTTGAAATTGTAGTATCATCCTTTGTTACTCAATTTTGAATGTTGCTGAAATATGTTTTTGAAATCTGATGAGAGTTTACTGAGAGAGTGACTATTTTATAATGTTCCATGTCTGAACAAGATTGCCGTCCCCAGAGAGTGTTTGAAAGTATTGACTATTTGAAAGTAGCTTTGAATAGCTGTTACACAGATCTTCTGATCTTATTTCCAGCAACATATCCTGAGGTTACAAGAGCAACAAGCCTTAGCAGTCAGCCAGCAGCATGCACAAAAATCTTGGGCAACTCATGCGTGAGTACTTTGGTATCACTGTTATCATGGGGCACTAAAAGTAGTGTTAGAAGTCATGTGTCTCAAACTCTTAATCTCCCCGAGGTTTGCATGCATGAATGATTTTTGCCATTGTCTCAGGGCCAAATGTGCACACATAAATCAATATGTGAATATTTAAAAAAACAACTTTCCAGTATTTTTCAACCTATTTCTCTGTGTAATTTTGTTCCGGCTGTTTGATATTTAATATTTTGGTTACTATTGAAGTATTGGGTTAGTTATAAGAGAACCTTGATTCATTACGGGTTACAATTTTTAAATTTAGGACAGCAACATAGGAATAAATGTATCAGAGACTATAACTCATTGGTCTACTGTTCTATTTGTACCAGATACCAAAGTGCTCCAATGAAAGGACTCTCCTTGTTAGACATACAGCAACAGGAAGCTGAGAATGCCAAGAAATCACAAAAGGAAAAACCCAACACTCAAACCTATACTGCTAAGCTTTCTTTAGCCAGTGCCTCTACATGGACTGGTACTGGTGGAACATGGGGAGGTCAGCCTGTCTGGAACAACAATACATCTGGAATCTGGGATTCGTTGGTTCCTCCAACATTCAAGAAACCAGTTGTGAAAGAAAGGTACAGGCTTAAATTTTAAATTTTTTTGAGAGAGAAAAATTGCCAAACTTTAAATACATTTCTGTTTCAAAATTCGTGCATTAATTCAATATTAATTTTGAAGTTTTAAATGCAATTTTATTAAAATCATCCACTTTTCCTTATTTTGTCTGACTAATTCTGTGTTATATTATTTGTTGTTAAAGTTTTTTTTAAAATTCCAAATACAGATCTCCAGTTTTACAAAATGAGGCACTGTGTAGTTTAGAAGTACAATGAAAAATCTATTATCTCTTTCAAAAGAAATAAAAATAAAATAAAAATTTATTACAAGCATTCCTGAGGCCCCTTTCCGTTAATCCAGTCATAACAATAACTGAAGTTGGATTTAGATCAATATAGTTTTTAAGCATGGATACCAGCGCTATATAAATATCCAATCAATCAAATGGTACAGAAATATAAAAAGTAACAATTCTCTCAAATGTGTTAATGAAATAAAGATACCGGTATTCATACTATTTCATACTGTATTGCTATGAGGATAAAACTTGCTAGCTTCGCTTTGCTTCAATACCCCTGTCATTATATTTATGTTGATGGAAAATTAATGTTTTGATGAAGGCATTTTGCCATTTATCATGTAGCTTATCATGTAGCCCTATGCATACGGAAGAAAACTGAAGCTATATTTCTCTCTTTACAGTGGCGAGTTTCCTGCCTTAAAAAGCCCAGCCCAGCAGTTGAAGAAAAATACAGTCAAGGCAAATAAAAATAAAGTGCCAGGAGCAAAACAGAAGAAAGAGGAGGTAATACTGGGCTAGATGAGAACATATAGGTTCAATTTAAGTTTGATAATATATTTGAGTTTTAAAAATATGATATTCTTCCTAGGAAAGTGTCCAGAAGCTCTTTCAAAATAGGCAGCAAGATGATTTTAGCCAGTGGGTCATGGAGCGGGTTCTTCAATTCTCTGCTCCTATAGACGGTAGGTCTACATATAATCTCACATTTAATCACCCTAATGTCATTTTTTTAAAAAATATTGAGACAACTATGATTATCACTCTGTCAGCTCTCCTGTACAAAGGATGATCTTTTTATTTTTATAATGAAGAGTGTAAGATTTTTCAAATATTGAACTAAATTACTAAAAATAACTAACTTAATTCAGAATTTTCACCCATTGTTAGCAGGGTTTTTTTATTCTGGATTTGAAATAGTAATAAAAAGGTCTCTATGAACACTAAATGCACACAAAAAAGGATTCACCAAAGTTTCATTAAGAATTGGATACTTGAAAGGAGCATGTTATGGTTGTAAATGTATTGTTATAAATTGTTTTCATCAGCAGTATTAGATGTGTAACTAACAGTTAAACCATGTTGTCCATTCTATTCACAGTGCCCACATTTGTGTCTTTCATTGTTGATGTAGAGAGTCCTGATGATGTAAGTAAAGCTTGCTGTACACAATTGTTTCAAGGGTGCTATCCTCTGGGTAACCCATTTTTAGAAAGGGTATGACATTAGAGATCAAGATCATTCTCAGTGTGCAAATTGCCATGATTAATTACATAACAGTCTTCTTATCTTCTTCTTCTTATGCCTTTTTACCTGTGGGGCATAGGCCGTCCACAAAAATGTTCCATTCATCACAGTCCTGTACTTTCCTTTCCAGGTGTATCCCTTACGTCTAGCTGTCTGCCTCTAGCTTTCATCACCATGTATTCTTTGACCTTCCTCTCTTTCTTTTTCCCTGTGGATTTCAAATTAGGGATTGTCTGGTGATGCTATCCGGGGTTTTCGTAGAGTATGCTCTATCCACCTCCATCTTTTCTTTATGATGTCTTCATTAATGGGCACCTGGTATGTCCTTTCTAGTAGATCTTTGCTGGTGATGGTATTTGGCCATCTGTTGTTCCGAATCTTTATAAGGCATGTGTTAATGAAGGTCTGTAACCTCATAAAAGCTAATAAAACAATTATTAAAATTTTCTTATATCTTGTAAAGTAGTTTGCGAAATAAGTAAGATATTTCTCATAAAGTTTCATATTGGCTGTTTTTAAAAAAAAATTAATAAAAATCATTTTTTCCCCCCCTCAGGTCAGAGATTACGTAAAAACCTATCTAGGTGAAACCAAAGAATCTAAAGATTTTGCCAAGCAATTTGTAGAAAAGAGAAATAGATTTAGAAATCAAGCTCGGCTGGAGAAGCAACAGGAAGAGGTAAAATTTTGCAAATAATTTTCACATATAATCCCAGTTGATAAGTTTATTTGTAAAACAACCATGCCAGTGTTTAAAAAGATAATTAAGTCTTTGAGATTTTTGCAATGAAGATGTTTTATTTAAAAGCTGATTTTATTTTTTTTTTTATTTTTTTTTTTAAATTGTCTCATGCTCTTCTCTGAAATCTAGTCTTTAAAGTAATAGAAAATAATAGTGGTAGCTATTTTTTTTTTTTTTTTTTTTTTTTTTTTTTTAATTTTTTTATTTTTTTAATTTTTTATTTTATAGCAAAAATTTTTTTTTTTTTTTTAAACAATTTTTGACAAGACACCCACATATACTGATTTGTTGTTAAGAAAAAACAAATTCCTTTTTGTTGTTCAAGTAGCTTGGAGAGAAAAATAATTAGAATCTTTCATTCAAGAATGTTTAAAAAATGTCCTGATTTGTTAAACAAGATTACTTATTTTATGTACAGGACAGCATCTGGGGACCAGCACCTGCCATAAATCCTCATAACCAAGTAAGAGGAGGAGGTACCGGAACAGGAAATGGTAGTACTGCAAATGATGGAGGAGAAACTATCTCTGGGAAGGGTAAAAATCGGAAGAAAAAGCAAAAAATGCAGAAACTGGATGGCAGCATCCTTGGTTTTACAGTCCAAGCAGATCCTAATCGTAAAAACGCTGCAGGAGAGTTTGAAAGCATTCAGTAAATGAACTAAAATGTCTGATGTTAATGTGATATTGTAGAACCAGGTTTGTTATATTCTAATGGAAGGTTCATTCCATGTTTTTAAATTCAAACATTGTTTTAAAACTGATTTTAGCCCCCACTCCCCACCCCTACCCTGTTTTTCAATATTTTACCATCAAAATGTCAGAGTGCAAATGTTTTCTCTTGAAATACTTGATACTTAAAAAAGATTTAAATTGTTTTCCAATATTTTGGCCACACATGCAAGTGGTCTTTGTTCATTAGGTTCATGGTATAAGAAGTTAATCTGAAGCTAGGTATAGCTCTACATTTGGTTGATCACCCCCATCAGTGTGCCAAAATGACATCTCAAAGCATTCACCTGTATAAAGAAATAATAAAAAATTTAAACTTTAACACTAAGAACTTGCTTTTTTTTTCATATTTAATTTTATGTTGAATGTTTTTTGTCTACAATAAAATACACTTCAGGTATGCTTCTCTTTATTGTTAAAAATATAAAAAGGAGATTTAATATTATATTCTTTACCCCAACTCTTATTACATTTTCTAGGGACATTAAGTCAAATTATTGACTGACATGTTGAGAATTTTCAAAATTTTAAACTTTCACCATAAAATATGAGATGTTTTTTTAATTTCAATATGACTATAACTAACATTATTTTATACAACATATGTAAGCAGCGTGAAGTTTAAACCAAATTTGCAAAAATTATGTTTTTAGTGTCAGCTGTAAAATTCGGAAAACTAAACTTGGGCATTCAGAGAGTCACAGTCACAGCAACATTATACTTAGTCACATTATTATCTTAACAATGAGGGAGTGAAGCAAATCAGTTCAAGTGCTGAATTTAAATTATGGTACAAGAAAAGTCTGTAAGGCAGAATAAGCTACTTGATTAAATTGAGCCAAAAGCAGATGTTTAAGGAGTAGGTGAATTAAAGGTACTGTTATAGGCTTAAAATAAATTTGAATCTTTACTTGACAAGGCTTAAAATATCTTTGAATCTTTATTTGACAAGGGTTAAAATAACTTGAATCTTTATTTGACAAGGCTTAAAATTAAAATGAACTTTTAATATTTATTTGACAAGGCTTGAAATTAAACTAACTTTGAATCTTTATTTGACAAGGCTTAAAATAACTTTGAATCTTTATTTGACAAGGCTTAAAATAACTTTGAATCTTTATTTGACATAGCTTAACCCACTAACTGCGGCATGCATTATTCTGTGGTGTGGAGCTTTTCAGAGAGTTTTGAGTGTCATTTGAAATTGCATTAAATGACATAGAAATATTGATACAAGACCCCAATAAGTATATATTTTTAGAAAGGTAAATGGATAGGGATAAAGTTGGCCATAATGCCCACCCTGTAAAAAAATTTTGCTCAGTGTCCTTGAGCTTGGAGTTCTCAAGGAAAAAAAATCAACAAAAAGTCTTGCTTTCGGGTGCTCATAACTAATAACATTAATTTTTATAGATACACTTAAAACACAAATCTAAATGTTGTAGCCAATTCATTTATCTTTCAGAAAATTTATAGTTTGCTAAGGTTTTGATTGCAATTAAACCTCTGAAAGTAAGTTTTAGGTCATTTATATAAGAAACTGGGACCATTGCTAAAACCAAGTACAAAATAAAAAATCTTAGGCAATATATATAGTTATTATTGACTAGTAAACATTTAAAAAGGAACTGTGGAACTGATTTGGGTTGTTTAACTATAATCTGTAGCTTCTGTGACTAAAATTCAGTCAGTCCTTGCCCAACCTCCGGGCCTGGCTCAAAGTCTAACAGTAGCCTCAGTAGGCCTACTTCAGTATCACCAGAACTAGTATAAAATTCATGAGAAGAATAATCTCAACTGATATCGTCATGGGGAATGTTAAAATCATCATCAGTATCACTTAAAACCTCTCCTAAAAAGCTTTCAAACATATTTCTATTAGTTCTTGCACTGAAGGCCCAGCCATAGCTTCAACCATTTTAGCTTTTAAAAAAACAGCAATATAAAACTCTGATTAAAATGTATTTATTTTTAAGTTATCAAGAAACAGCCTGGACTGGAGGATGATTTAATTATTAATAAAAGGAAGTGGCTATAATTCCGGTTAAATATTGGATTGGAAGTTACAATCGGACTAGGTTTTTTATCGGCCGCTTCAATACAGAACGAGAAAGTCTGCCGATTTTTTTCGGCTGACCACAGTTCGTGGGTTAAAATTAAAGTAACTTTGAATCTTTATTTGACAAGGCTTAAGATAACTTTTAATCTTTAATTGACAAGGCTTAAAATATGTATTAAAAATATTTAAAAAAACAGCAAACATTTGTTTATATAAATTTTTAAAAAATTCAAATGTTAAAGTTTAACAACAAAGTCTTGGAAAAATTAACAAGATAAAAATATAATAATAATATTTATATATTTTGTACAACATGGTTTAATGAAGGATAATTTACACTGTACATATAATTTTGATATCTAAAAAAGATTGCATCATAGACATTAGCAATGTAAATAATAAACCATGATCTCATCTATAAAAGACATTTTTTTTTTTTACAAATTGTGTTAAATGGTAAAGGTCAAATTAATAAAATAAACTTAAACTTAATAATTTTCTATACATTTTTTTTAGTTATTTGTTCAATTAAGAGGTAACTTCCAGGATCTACAACACTAAATCTGGATCAGCGGTCTCCTCTTGCCAAGATGATGACATTGTTTTTCCATTTTTAAATGTAAAAATACAACTACTACAGTATAAAAAAGATCACAACTTAATGCTGTAACCATGCATTTATAAATGTTACTTCAGTAATAGGCCTACTTAATATTGTTTAAGCTTCATAAAGATGTAGTAAATTCCTTAGTACGTTTCACAAAAGTTTAAATATTATTTTGTTTTGTTGCTGAAATCTGCTGCAAAAAAGTTCTTGTTTAAAAAGGCTAGTATCATTATCTAAATATAATATTTAATATATGTATATATTTTTAAAGCAAGTTTTCTAATTGACTCACATTGCTTTCTTCCCACAGAAGTACTAGAAAATGTAATGTTTTCATTCCCCAAATTTTCAATTTATTGCCTTATAAATTAAAAGTTCATTTATAGAGGATTCAGCATTAATTAATAGATTAAACGAAAAAAATTCAATGTTTTGTTTTAGATCCTATACAGAAATCTGAGTCAGTTCCTGAGGCATTACTTCAGGCATTCTCAGAATTGGTTTTCCACGAAAGTGAAGATTGTTGTTAACATTGTTGGAAGGGAGAAGAGTTGTTGATAAATGTTTGGGTGTTGCAAAGCGGGTAAAGCGCATGGCATCAACAGGCTTGTCTCTGTAAGCACCCATGTAAGTGGATTCAAAATCTGGATGGTCCAGCTCCTTTTGCTTAGCTAAGGCTTTAGCCTCCTTTTCTTGTTTTAGTCCAAAATTTGTTGGTGGGCCTGGATTGTTATTAAAAATAAAACTTGTTAAGAAATATCCATATAATCCTAAAATAATTTTGAAAACATTTTCATGCACTCATCCTTGATGATACCATTAGGGAGTCATGTTAATTTGTTAATAAAATAAGGAGCCCTCTTTGTTATCAAGACAATAGGATAGCATCACAGACATATTGAACCTGCTATTACTTTAATTGTTAAAATAAACTTAACTGACTTTATTGTTTGTTTAAGAACCTAATTATAAGTTTATAGTAGAAAAAGAGACTGTAAAAAGTTTATCACTGCACTACATTCTAAGTAGTTTGTTAGCTAAACATTTAAAAAAAAAAAAATGTCTTAAGGGCTTCATGCAGTTTCACACTAGCCCCATTGCAAACAAGAAAAACAATGATTAAATCTTGCCTATCATCAGAAAAGTTTTGACAATTCTTAAAAGATCTAACCTATACATTTTTTGCTATATATACAAAGTGTCACTTATATTGGTCAATAGAAAGATTCGAAATATTATGGAGACCCGAGGGGAAAACTGTAATGAGTTTAAATGATCTTATTTACGTAAGTGATTTAAAAACATTTAGCCAGTTAAGTATGATATAAAAATTGACTACAATTTTCTTACCTCTAAGAGGATAATCTGATCTTTCTGGTAGCCAGCTCAAGGTTTGACTATCCCATTTCCTCAGTGCAGGTAAACAGTTTTCCCGCCAACGCCCATTGTAATGTTCATCATACATGGTTATGAGCATATCATCATAAGCCTTCCCATGGTGACGAAAAAACAAGTCCCCCGGTAAACCTTCACTGTTCAGGACAGCTTTTCTTCGAACAGTAACATCTGGGTGAAATTCTCCATAGCTTTTAAAGTCTATGCGATGAGTGGTGTTGTGTTTGTATTTTTCATCTGGAAACTAAAAATCAATACCGGTAGTCAAAATATCAGAAATGTTCATTTATTAAAAGAGGATCCATTACAGAAGATATTTAAATTTTATTGTTAATCTTGATCTATTTTTTTAAAAAATGAACACTTATATTAAAAATATTTGAACTAATTCATTAAGGTGATGTCTTTATTTTTTTTCTCTAGTAATTACTGATTTTTTCTTTAATTATAAATTGTAATATAAAAGGAGGAATGTTAAAGAAGGAAGAAAAAAATAATAAAAATTTAATCAATGTAGTATATTTATTTTATATTATAGTAAAGAGTTGATAGAATTTTAAAGCCTGATCATTATGTATGTCATGTTTATTATCTTTTCAAAAATAAAGTTCATTACTTCGACTATGGAGACACGTAAATTTTTAAAAAAAAAATACGACTATTATATTAAGACACTTTAATTTTTAAAAAACAAACAACTTACTTAATAAGTTAATTTCATAATGAATTTTTGGGCCATATGAACTGTCACCTGACAGTTGTCTTTATCCTTATTTATTAACATGGCAGCAGCTTAATCTAGTTTAGACTTTAAAGTATAAGCTTTCACATAATTAAATTCCGTAGGCACCATTTTATATCCCTTCAGTTTTTTCCCCATTATTTGCTAACTAAATACATTTATTTAATAACATTATTGATCGATATTGACAATATTATTGTCATTGATAACACTATTTTCTTTTTAAAAGAACAACAAATGTTTTGATGTAATAATAGTGTCAAATATATATGCGATCACTATGCCGTAGACGTTAATATAATAATAATAACTATGAATTAACTATGACTTACAATGCAGAGACAGAATTTGTCAGAATGAATGAATTAAATCGTGATCATGAATCTTTTAATTTTAAATTTACCTTTAATCTTTCTTCTGACCAGTTGCCGATAAGAACTCCTGGCGCGTACTTCTGCTCAATTCTCCAACTTGGGTTTCCAAACTTTGAAAGGTCAACAGCACGTTCAGTAATGTGTCGCTGCATAATTTTCACATAAATTTTAAAGTAAAATATGATTTTAACTTCAAATTAGTGCTCAGCGTTTTCTTGGTTGCTAAGATAATTATAAGTTGCTATACAATTGTAGTAGCTTCCCTTGGGTTTCCGGTTATAATTTTATTCCTTGTTTTAAAATTTTAAATTAATTTAAACCATACAATTAATACGTGGTGTATTAAATAAATCAACACAGCAATTTAATGTATTTATATTCTCTTTAAAACAAAATTATTTAAAAAATATAAAAAAAAACACACAACAAAAATTAAAAAGCTAAAAGTTTTAAAAAATGTAATTGTCGTCATTGACATTTATTTACTTTCAAGCTTACGTACATACAGTCTATATAGACTATTACGTACCGGTACGCAAAAAACAAAACAACACACACATTTTTTTTTTATATGGTGAGATATTCGACCCCTCCTCTCCCCCTGAATGTTTATATTACTTGTCCTATTTTTGCTTGTCCTGTCTGCTGATGAAGGCTCTAATACGAAACGTTGTTCATTGTCCTATTTCTCAAGGTTCCACATACCTTAGGGGCCGTCCATAAAGTACGTCACGCTCCAGAAGGGGCGGGGAGGGGGTGTAAGAAAGTGTGACGGTTTGTGACAGGGGGGAGGGGGGGGTCAGGCCATGTGTGACGTCACACATTTATTTTTTAAAATGTTATTTCTAATTTATTATTATTTTTTTTTAGTAGAGTTTAATAGCTTAAAAAATCATTTTAAAAAAAATTTGTGAAACATTTGAATTCGTTTTAAGTCAAAATAGCATGAAATGCGCATCTCCTGAATGTGATGTTCACGATTCCTCTCGCTAGTAACTATTCTACTATTAAAGCATTTTAATAATGTGATAGTTCTTTTAAGTGGAAATTTTATATTTTAATACAGTTTAATAGTGAAGTGTGTTTTAGATTAAATTTTAATTAGGTGTTATTTTTTTAAAAAATTGTTCGAAAGTGTGACGTACTTTAGGGGGGGGTCCAAGATTTGTGACAGTTTGTGACAGGGGGAGGGGGGTTAAAATGGTCAAAAATAGCCTGACGTACTTTATGGACGGCCCCTTAAATAGCAGAGCAGTGTACCACCATAGAAAGGTGCACATTAAGCAGGATTTCACTAGAGCAGGTTTCAGAATTATTCCCAAATCCCACCATTAAACCTGTTTATTTATCACGATCTGAATGTACCAGTTGTAAATTACGCAAGCGGCCCCTTGCCAGAAAACCTTATCAACACAAAGGAAATGAAAATCCTCGTGAAAATATATGGTTCGGTTATATACGATGATGGATGGAGAATCCATACAAACAAAGAGATATATCAATTGTTCGAAGACCCACCCATATTTGCAGCAGGGGCAGACGGCTCAACTGGTCGACCAAGACTGAGATAAATTGATGATGTAAATAAGGACTTACATCAGCTGGGGGCCTGCGCATGTGGTGAATCAGGCCAGGGCCCTACATGGGCTGAAGTGCCACTGATGATGAGGACTGTGTGCATGTGGGTTTTAATTAGAGAGGAACTTTTCAAATTGAAACTTATTAAGGGCTATTAGCGATCTCCTATGACACATTTGAGGCTTTCTGCGCTTGCGAGTTTGTCTGTTGAAAGTGATCAAGTGAAGTACGTTGATTCTGATGAAGTGTTTGATATGTTTGCATCTTTGAAGACTTGGAAATTAAAGTTTTAACTGTAGAGTTTAATGTTTCAATAAAGGTAATTTTATTAAAGACGTAATAAACTAGAGAAAAAAACTGATACAGACTTATGGGAACTGACATCTCATGGCATGAATGTCCTATTTTCATTCACTTGTTAAATCTTTTCGCCACTCCTTCCTTGTTACAGCCAACCACCGTGGATTTACTTTTCACCGCTCCCCTCAACGACTGTCTATATAAACTCTCTTACCTACTAATGGTATATGGCTTTTCTCTTGATGTTCTCTCAAATATTACATATTGCAGCTAAGTGTTCATTTTCAGTTTTATATTTGTTTTACTGTTATGAATTTTTCACACCAGGTGACACCAAACCTACTCAGCCCTGCGCATAACCATCTGTGTTTGTGTGTGTAAAAAAAGAGGGGGGGGGGAATGGGGAATTCCATTTAAAGCACTCAGGGTAATTGCCTTTGTTTTGTGCTCTGTTTCTTGTCGTATTTTCATGTGTACTGTTTGCTGAGGAAGGCTCTAGGCCGAGAAGTTCACACCTTATTGTCCTGTCTTTTGATTCAAGTGTTCGCGTATCTTGTTAAAATTTTTCCATTCACATAGCTTGAACGTAGCATTTCATTTATTATCCTTTGAGATTTTAGGGGCCCAAAATTATGATATGGGGAAAAACACTATCAACTTTGAATGCAGGGACACAAAACTGAAAAGTAACAAGGGCCCCAAAAGCCACGCGACGGCGCTGAGGCCTATACTGATACTTCCCACTGAAATACTAATAAATTAATGTTCATTTTACTACAAATAAAATATGTACATTGTGCATAGGAATTCGTTCTTAAATTTTCTATCAACTGAATATTGAGAATTTAAACTTTATTTTGATATGATTTCCTTCACACACAAAAATCACACATTAATAAATATATGATGTCTTCTGTAAACAACTCATGTCTTCTTAACAATTATGTCGGTTACATACGATTTATAAATAAATACCAATTACCAATTGTTGTAATAGACCACGTACCGCACTTTGTATTCGTGACTTGGTCTTTATTGTCATGGAAAATGTATGTAGGCCGTTTCATAATAAGAGCATATTTGTTAGTTAAGGCAGACATTTTATATCAGGGCAGTGTTTCTTTCAGACATTGCCCCCCCCCCTAGGGGTAGGGGGGCACTTCAAATTTTTGGTTGGGGGAGCTGTGCCAGTTGCCAGTGGCCAGAGGCGTAGCTAAGGTTGTAGATGGGGGCATATGGCCTGGGTCGCCAGACTAGTAAGGGGGGAGGAGGCAAATGGGCTTTGATGGCATGTAATGGTGGACAATAATCAGTTTCAGAGTGGGGGGGGGGGGGGCGTAAATATGAATCTTGTCCGTTGACACCAAACACTGTGGATAAGCACCTGCTAATGGCGTCAAAATAAGGTGGATGGGGTGGTCCACCGAGGTGTCACTTTTTCTTTTTATGCAGGTGTGGCATTTTTGGACAACTGCAGAGTTTGTGTCGGGAAAGGGAGGACAGCAAAACTATTTGCTCGGCCCCTCATGGCGGCACTAATAGTAGCTGCGTCACTGGGCAGCGGTTCTATCGATACCAAAATCGGGGATGATTTTCATCGGGCAGAAATTGAGGGCGCTGATGAATCTTGATCAGTGGAGGGTCTGGGGAGCTTCTCCAGGAAAAAAAAATTGATTATATCAAAGTCAAGAGGTGTATATTTTAGTTTATTTGAATTCAATGTTTTTATTTTACTTTTTTTAACGGGGGCGGGGGAGGGGGGGGGAAAGGGGCACTTTAAAGGTTTTGCGGGAGGCATTATGGCGCCTAGTGCCATACATAAACTGGATTCACTCAGTCTGTGGCGTGTCCCGGTGGGGGGGGGGGGGGGGGGGGGGGGGGGGGAAAGGGGCACTTTAAAGGTTTTGCGGGAGGCATTATGGCGCCTAGTGCCATACATAAACTGGATTCACTCAGTCTGTGGCGTGTCCCGGAGTAATCATTTGTCACACGCTTATAATCAGCCCCATACTGTACCATTGATCAGCGTGAGTGAAGGGGTGCAAAAATTTAGGGTGCTTAAGACAGTCGGGCAAACTCAAAATGCAGAGGTGCATTTTGGTGCATACTTGAATTTGTGTCACTTTCAGGCAATTTTGAGGTTGCATTTCAAACTTTCGGGTGGGGAGTGCCAAAATTAGCCATAATAATGATCAAAGACATCTTCAATTCGGCTCCAGTGAGACGTACACTAAATTCATTCTACTTGTGTCACCCTTGAACTCCTTGAACTATACACTGAGAAACATAAACTTATAACTATAATTTGTGAAGAAGAGAAAATTCCAAAAGAATGGGAAACAGCATGAATAACCCCAATACACAAGAAAGGCCTCAAACTTCAGTGCATAAACTACAGACTACAGGGGAATCTTCTCATTAAATGTTTCATACAAAATACTGACGGAGCTAACTGCCAAAAGACTAAAACCGTACTAAAACACAGAAGAAATACTAGGTGATTAACAGTGTGGATTCAGGCAAAACAAATAAACGACTGATCAGATTTAGATAAATGTTATATAGGTATAACTTTATGGGATATCAACTGAGTTGAAGGACAAATGATTGGACACTCTTACTGTAGACTTGTAAAAAAATCAGATTAGAGATGTGAAACCAAAAGTTATTTTATTGTTTAGGGATGGTGATATTTGCTTGTCAACACTAAATAATGATGATGCATAATGATTTGAAAGAGGAAGAAAGCCCTGATCTAAAATTTCTGCCTAAACTAATAAATATGCTTTAATTATCAAACGGCTTACATACATTTTCCATGACAATAAAGACGAAGTCACGGATACAAAGTGCGGTACGTGATCTATTACACTGCTTGACAACAAATATTCCACAAAGGTTCTAATTAATAAAGACGCATCACGAGGGCCATGCAAGGGAGGATGTCAAAAAAACGGGAATTTTCCATAGGCATATATCCCTTAGTTTAGGTCTTAGGTAGGGGGTGGTCTGCCCCAACGCACTATTTAAAAAAAAAAAATAAATAACTACGACACGGCACTTTAGGTCCAAAGAAAGGAAGATAAAGGTCATTAATGGATTAAACGACACAGCGCATAATTTTATTTTTTCATGAATTATTACTTATTATTATGGTACTAAAAAATACTGGATAAATTCCATAAATTCTTTGTGACAGAATATGTCCGGGATCGGGATTAATCCTTGTGCAATCAAACGGATTTGCTTTGCTTTGAACAGAAATTTGAAATGCATCCCCTCAGATTATTATTATAAACTAGATCCACCCAACCAACAAGGACACCGTCAGTCCAGATCCACCCAACCAACAAGCACACCGTCAGTCCAGATCCACCCAACCAACAAGCACACTAACAAAGCAGTGAAATTGATTGAACCCTGAAAACAGCATGAGTATCTGTCACAGTTTACAAATATCTCTGGAATCAAAATCAAAAAGCCTAATTTTAATGTTAAATTGTATAAAAAATGACCCCCCCCCCCCCCTTACTCCCTTTTCTACGCTAGAGGATGTAGTAGGTCTATATAAAAACGCACCCTCCCACCTTTTATTGCACCACCTTCCTTTTGAATTATGAACGACCTGTGTGAAAAATATTTTAAAATACAATTATTATAGGCTCTCCTTTTTATTTTATTCGTAATAAAGTACACTAAGCTTTTTAATGGTTTCATGTTCGTTCTTTTGTATTTGAAATACATATGCTATTGTTAAACATCGTTTCTACTTTCTACTTTTTAATATCCAATTGTAAATATTTACGTTAATGATTAATGCGGACGAAAACTCCAAATTCTTATAAAAATATGACAGACCTGGACAATATTGATAGATCACGTTCTGAACGATCCTCTGTTAATATGGGAAGTGATATGAACCTCTACAATGGAGCGAAAGTAGATCCTCAACATAACAGATTCCCACACTGTATTGTTTGGACCCCTATTCCATGTTTAACGTAAGTGGTGACTTCCAATGCCAATTGTAAGTAAAAGTACAGAAGAAAAGTAAATATAGTTTAAGTCATTGATATTGGGTAGTTAATTAACTTACTAGCTAGTATATATTATTAACTTACTAACTTAATTCTAGGCACTTTTCTGACAGTCAGTTCATTGAGTGAGTGAAATTAGCATTATTCTAGTTCTAGGCCCAGGAGTCCTGGCATGACTTTGACTTAATTAATAATTAATGATTACACTTTATTTTTATTATTCCTACCAACTTCTACCTCTACATTCTTGTTTGCAAGAAAGTGAGACAACATGAATTAATCAACAATACACTACAATACTACAAAGCACACCAATGATCTAAAGTATATTAATATTCTTTTTATCAACGCTAACGCTGTGTGACAGAGGCTACTGCAGCCTGTCTAAGACATAATCCTTCTACATTACATTCTTAGCCTTGAGTACTTTAGAGCAGGTAGGGTTGCCAGACGTCTGGCAAAAGGAGGGCATGTCCTCCTTTTTAGCTCAACATTCTCCGCCCGGCAGGCAAAGATAAAATCTTTTAAAATGTCCGGCTTTTCTTACATTTTATATTATAATTTTTTATGTATCGTTGATACAACTATTAGATCGTATTTTTATGTTTTTACAATGTACAAAGTCTATGCATTTCTGCGAACCAGTATATTTTAGTCATTCTAACAATCTAGCTCTGTGCTGTATTATCTATGGTCAAAATGTTAATGTTATTTCCGGTTCCGGCAACAAAGACACAAATTTATATGTTTTTTTTAAATTTGCAATTTTTGCCGTCTATGTTTATGAAAATGGCTTCTACAAAGAGAAAATGCAAATACTCGAACACTATGAAAAATAAGTTTCCTTGCTTCGTTGAAAAATGCAATGAGAATGAGGCAAAGTGTACGATTTGCGATAGTTACTTGTCCTTTGCCAACAAAAGAGCTACAGACTTGGAGCGCCATGTTGACAGTGAGGGACATAGAAACCTAATCAAAGTGTCCGCATGATCGAACCAGTTGACGTCTTTTTTTCAGCCTAAGTATTAAAAATTAATAAAGATTATAAGGTAATGATTGTACAATTGGCTATTTAAATGATGTTTTTTTGACATTTTGAAAAAGGCGTCGATTGAATTTGTTTTTTTAACTTGATTGTTTCTTGGTCGATTCACTAAGAGTAAGATACACTTAATTGGCTGCTATTACAATAAAATTGTGTTGACGGTGAGTTTAATCCGGGACGACTCATATGAAACATTCAAAATGTCCTCCTTTGTCCTCTTTTTTGTTTTATTATGGCCTCCTTTCGGTGTCCACATATCTGGCAACCCTAAGAGCATGTGGGTCCAAACTTTTTTGAGTCATGGCATACTTTCTGTATCCAGGTTTCTCCAAGGCTTTCAATGTCAAGTTCAAACAAGTTATGCCTTAAAACCTTTAAAATTGCTAACTTTATGACAAAACTATTTACCATTTGTGTATAAGTATAAGCCTGATTAACTTTTGTGCTTTAAAACACTTTACATAAAATTAATGTTATTTTTTAATATATTTTATTATTGGTATACCGGTACATTTTTATTTTTGATGCTTACTATAAATTTTAAACACAATTAACATTTTCTTAAAAAGGTTCTTCTCCAATTTGGGAATGAAAGCAGAATATCATCCCTAAAATATGATAACTATTTTTTTTCAAATTTAAAAAAATCCTGTATACATTCAAGTTAAAAAAAATTATTGTAGTTTCTATTTTAATTTTTACACTTTTTCTTTTGTTTTATTCCAGGTGGCTTTTACCCATTATTGGGCACATGGGGATATGTACCACATCAGGGGTTATAAGAGACTTTGCTGGTCCATACTATGTTTCAGTGAGTCATTAAAAAAACAAGAATCTTAGTAAACAACACTATTCTTATTTTAACTTCAATAATTGTGATAAATTATTTTGGCTGGAGTCAATTAATGTTTGATAGGATTTATAATTAATATTTAAACTAAGTCACATTGCATTCATTCACTTAAAAAAAATCTTAAGTGCATTTAAAATACAAAAAATGTAAAAGAATTAAGAAAAAAATAAATCCATCCCAATAGATGTATTGATTTGTATAGGGTGCTGGGTGGCAGCGCGGTCTAGACTGTCTGATACCAAATAACTGATGGTCAAAGCCAACATCCCAAGCACCCCGGGTGGATGGGACTTGTTAGCCTTGGACGGCAACCCATCTAAGAGAAGGCAAACTCTGAATTTAAACCAGGAGCCAGAATAATCAACAAATTGATCGTGGGTCCCTCAAATAAAAGAAGAATGATTTATATTTGAAGTACATATACTGTGTACATGTACTCAGCTACATTTTCACTGTGTAAAATAGACTTGCTCATTTTCACATGCAAAGGACAAACCACATAACAACATGAAGTACACGTATCAAGACTGTAAAAGAGCAGATGAACAATGTAACATAAAAATGATCAAGTTACAATAGGAACACATTGAACTATGTACATGCTATGGTTGATTCAATTGATTAAATTTTTTATTCCTAGGAAGATGACATGGCTTTTGGAAAACCTGTAAAGTAAGTCCCCCAACAAAAAATAAAATAATTAAAATCTTAACTTCCTTTCAACATTGAAAATTTAAACAGTGTTAATTTTGTTTTAGTTTTCAAAGAAAATTAAAAAGCTCAATGATAAATTATAGTATATATATAATTTCAACTGTCGGTAACTCTGACTAGCTTCCCCTTGGAAAACACCCTTTTTTAACACTCTTTGTAAATCAGTATAAGTTTAAACATGAGAGCTTGAACAGATTACAATGTTTCTATTGGGTCTAAAATATGCTCGTATACATTAGGTATGTAAGATGTAACATATTGGTGGTCTTGTTTCCATGAGCTACATATGGTCAATGATCCAATCTATGCAATTTTTTATTAGATGCTATTCAGTCTGGTTTAAATTTCCAAAGGCAGTGGTGCCTAAACATTTTGAGCCACAACACCCTTGCAACATTCCTTTTTTTGTTCCCATGGTTTGCTAAATAAAATTCTAGATAGTGCACTGCGAAATTGCAATTTATTTAACACTTACTCTCTACTCCCATTTCCATCTTGTGGGGCATAATTTTTTTTGTTGATCACACGTCACACTTTCATTAGATGGATTGAGTCTTCCTCATGCTGACCTAAAAGGTCGCCTGAGTGGATGACACAGAGTTACAGCTCCAGTAAGCTGGGTCGAGGGAAGGAGAGGTTGGGGTGGTGAGTGATGGGGTGGTGAGTGATGGATAAGAAAAGGTGATTAAATACTTAAATCTCTGGGTAAAGAACTAAATCACCACAGCTGGGATTTTTTAAGCATTGATTGTTCAAATTTTTAAATTCTTTTGTGGATACCTTATATATTAAAATTTTCATTCTAAAAATAAAGGAAAATAAATTATAAAAAAAAAAAAAGACTTTCTTTTCAAAATTACAAATCAGAAGAAATATTTCAATAAATTGACTTGACTTACTTACAACAATATTCAGATCATAATACTAAGTCAACACTAAAATGCGCTAAACCAATAGCATGTCATGTAAGAGAAACTACAAAAACAATAGATAAACTAAGTTATTTTAGAGTGCTATCTAGTTTAAGGTTCAACAAAGTTATTACTAAGTACTTAAATTTCGCTAGATGTTGTGCAATATTACATTTTGAAATTTTGTTAACACCTTGCAAGGCACTGAGCACGCGGTTAGGGAAACTCTGTCCTATAGTTTTAATCTGCTTGTTAATGTCTTAGTTCAATACCCTATCTATATAATATAATTTAAAATTAGTGTTCACATATTTCTATTGATTCATACATTCATAGGTATTGGCAAATGGATCTTTCTAAAGCAAGGAATGGCAAAGACTCATGGGATAGATCTGTAGCCGAAGCATCTGAAGAATACAAACATAGAATGGTAAGGGGTTGTTCATAACGGACGTCTGCAATAAAAATATGCATCTTTCCACCACCCCCCCTTTCTTCCCTTTGTTCTCGCTTGTTCACATGTGTTTTAACACCATCCCCCATCCCTCCCAGGTTGTGGACATCCACATACAGCATTTTACAGTGCGAAATGCCAGGAAGAATAATAACAATTGTAAAGAGCAAAGAGTCATTCTATTAAAGTCAGCAAGATCTGAAAAGAGAAAGTTAAACAAAAACTCGCATTGTTTACATGTGTTGACAAATAACAACAAAATATTTTGAGTGATTTCCCTTATGAAGTTTTTACTGAAATCTTGGTGGTTTGAAATGAAATTTTTTCTGCATTTGCACAAATAGATCAGCCATACATGCATGAGGGTATAAAGCAGCATGTAACAATAAAAATGGTAATGTCTGCTAGATTTTAACAACCCTCCTTCTCCCTTTCCCATCATCTGCAGTCATCTGCTCTTGAACGAAACAGTCCCTCCCACTCTTTGGATGATGTCCTTTGTGAAAACCCCTAAGTGTAATCTTGGATTATAAATGCTTTTTTGGGGTTAATGCTCATGTGCTGTAAAGTGTCTGCTACGGAGATTTCTTTCTTTAAGCCCCTGAGGTTGAGAGATAATTGGGTAAAAACCTGGCAACTGCTTAGTTTTAAATTGTTTTCTTAGCTACTTTTTTTTTTTCTGGCACGTCATACCCTTTTGATTCTCTCTCTTAATATAATCTCTGAATAATATTGGTGTAGAATTATAATTACTGATGTCCAAGCATATAAAAACACTACAAGAATACAATATATTGATTGAAGAAAAAAAACAGTTTGTAAAATGTGTAATGGTATTAATATGAGTAAATACGAAAGTGAAATTATTCCATCATAAAATCATATAAAGAAAAAGTCAAACAGGCGGTGAATTTTTTGCTTGTTATATCATCAAAACCATATAATTTGTTTTTCTGTCAGCATGTCCTTTGTTTTGACAATTGCCATTCTCATGTTGCCATGGCCCTGAATTTGATGAACTACAATGGAAGCAGCAGCTGGAATATGATTAAACTCTGCTTTCTCATGTTGATACATTCAAAGTACATCAGGTATTTATGCACCAGCTTTAAAACCACTTTTATTTGGTAACAGTGCATTTTTGATGAATCTATCTCTTTGAGACTGATAGAATCAATAAAATTAATCCCCTAAATGTTTTTCTGATGCACAGCTTATAAAAAATAAGTGCATTTAATTTGTTACAGTGTTTAATTCATTTATAAAAAAAAAAAACTTGTGATATATACATCTCAGATTGAAGTCCCAATAGTTTGGTAGTTGTCGCAACGTACCATAGAAAAAAACCAGGGTATTTGATAATGGTCACATAATTTACTTATGAGACAAGGCATGTCTAGACATATGAGGATACTCAAAATGATAGAACACAGACCACAACTTGCTCATTGACAGAAGATGTCTTTATTTCTAAATTAATGTAAACTCTTTAACCAATTAATTTAAATTTCCAGTTTCATTTAAATTTGTTGCTCACTAGCAGCCAACAAAAGGGACATAAATCATTGCAAATACAAAATGGCTTGTTTTTGGTTTGAATTCTAGATTCTGCAAATCAGGCAATTACAATCCAATATGTCTGGATGTTTCAATGGTTAATAACTTTTTTGTTGACATTTATTATTATTTTTTTTTTGTGGAGGGTTGTGTAGAGGGGAGATCTTTACATTTGATATTAATTAAATTTTGTTTCTTTATTCATTTCAGTTTTTGGGGTTTCATCAAGACTTGGCTACCCTTCCTCATCATGGTCGGTGTAATTATTGGTATCATATTTCTGACAAAAGGCACATAATGGTGATATAATCTCATAACTTAAAAATAAAAAATCTGATAAGTATGTTACCGCAGTGGTTCTCAACTCTTCAGGACATCGAACCTGAATTCATTTGTTTATAATTATTATAACTCAGTCCATTCAGCACATCCCATTTTCCAATACTTATCCTGGGCTCTATATACCCCTAGGAGTCTGATAAATAAGTTTTACTGGCTCTTTGAAAAGTGAAAAATTATCAAATTTTTCTAACAAGAAATGTAAATGGAATATTCATAAGCTCATAGCTGACAAGAACATCACTGAGGATCAACGGTAACAACAGGTGAAAGACCCCTTGAAGCTTTAAAAGAAATTTAATTGTAAAGAGTTTCTAAATAGGCAAAAACTGTATGATCTTATATATATATATATATATATTATCTCTTATTATCAGTAAGTACCTGCTGTAAGGTTTTATAGAGTGTTGAGTCTTGAAATAAAACAAGTACCTTGTATTTAGCTTTAAATAATTATAATTTTTAACATTGCAAATGGGGAAATTTTTAACATTTAAATTTAAAGCAATGATAATGGTTTGAAAAATATAATGAAAGTTCAGTTGTTTTTTTTCTTCTTCTTCTATATTTTGAGGGCCAACAATCAATGGATTAATCATCCTGGCTCCTATGTTTCAAATTTTTACCTTTAACAATCATAAATATTTTGATTGCAGTTTGGGTTCACCTTTTTCATAGTGAGTAATTATTCATTTTATATGTAAGTTTCATTATTTGCACTTGACTTTCTCATTTGAAGACCCACACTGTTTGCCATTCTGTATATATATAATTTAAAAACTAAAAAATGATCACCATGATCACACGTTATGTCATGAGTTGAGAACCCTTAAAAATATAAAAATAACCATTCAAGAGGTTGATTACTGTTACTGTACAAATTGTGCACTGAGACTTTCTGTGTTACTATGAAATTGTACTATCAACTTTCCTGTTCCTTAAGTCCCACTGAAAATTATATTCCTAAATGGCATCAGAGCCAAGATTGTAAATTTTGTTTAAAAAATGCATTGCTATTAAAGTGTGTTTAATTTATGAGTCATGTGAGTAGGATGATTTAGTACAGTTAATCTGGACATGTTTGAGCCAAGTTATTAAATCAGCAGTACATCAGCAGTGAATAAGTTGGCTCAAACATGTATTTTTGCAGTCTCTTTTGCAGTCTTCTCGCATCTAAAAAGTATTATGATCATATGCTTTCAGTTGTCTAAAAGATAAGACACCTTTATTGATCTAAATTAATGGAATTTTTTTTTCTTTGTATCATCCTCCAAATTTTTTAAGTCTTGAAAATCCTAGTTTGAGTTTTTTGTTTTTTCTTAAAAAATAGCTAGTTTGTTGAATAGCTGTGTGGTATGAATAACTATTGAGTTCTTGAGTGTGAGTTTTAATTTTGAACAGAGTCTTGGCTTTTTCTTGGAACTGTAGTCTTGTTTTCTAATTCCAATAACATTTTCCTTATGTCTGTAACCTTTATTAAAAATATTTTTTCAATGCAGGCTTTTTTTGTGTGTGGAACAAGGGAGATAAAAGTGTTCCAAAAAAATAAATAAAAATAAAATACAAAAAAAATGAGGGAATTTTATATTTGAGATGTCTACTTTATTAATTATTACTTTATTCCATTTTTTAAATTTCACTTTTTCATTGTATGTTTTTTATTAGGAATAAATATGTACCATTTAAAGGCATTGAGACTATGATTTAATACTGTGCATGTATGTCTGTTTTGTTGATTGTATAGAACATTGTCATACAAATTTAAAATTATGTTAAACCTTGGCAGATGTAATTCAATATTCAAAAAAAAAATATAAAGACACAATCAGAGCTTTTCTGTAGAATTTTTATTTAGATGTACATAACAGAGTCCTTAAAGTTCTAAATATGCTTTAATAGAAAATATCAAAGCATGTCTGGAGTGGGGTGCCTCTAACAGCCACCGGGGAAGCTGACGTTTTTTTATCTCAGATCCCTAGTCTTTGTTAATCCTTGTACTAAGGTGGCGGTTACTGCCCTTTGTTCGCCTAAGGTACTTTATTTCCCAAAGCTCAGACATGTCTAGAGGAAGTTCCTCTGGTGATTTGCTCGGACATCCGAAATCTGGGGAGGCGCCCGATTGTGGGGCAGGGGGAGGGGGGTCGGCGAGACCACACGATTTTAAAATGTAGAATTATAAAACATAAATTGTATGGACACGCGATTTTTTCTTCAAGTTCTATGTATCTGTTGGCCAGAACACAACAAACAGAATGAATTATGTTAACTAGGTTTGTTAATTAAAAGATTGTATATAATGGATGCGCCTAATGAGTACGTCCAGTATGTCTTCTTAAAAACAACATTTTCTTTTGTTAATTATTCTTGCGTTCGACTGTGTTTTGTTTTTGAATGTTTCAAAGGATTTTGAACCTTTGTTGTTTAATCAAACAAGTATATTTTGTTGGAAGTTTCCAGCTGATACATTATTCTTGTTTTAAACAAAAAAATGATGTAATTATAGTTAAATTTATGGAAGCAAGTCAAAGGGTCGAGACAAACACAGTAAAGGAAAAACAAACACCAAAACTTCACATGCTTTATTTAAATTAATGCTTTGCACCCCTCCTTTAGTATGTCTGGAGACAACATCCCTGCAGACAATTATCAATTTGTATAAATATATCTATTTTTAATTGTGCATTTAACCGGGTTTAAGATTAATAGCTTTAATGTCAGAAATTTGAGGGCGTATTTTTTTTTAAATAAGAGATTTTCACTTACATCTTGGCTAATCTTTGTATTCTTTGTGTAAGTGTCATCTGTGATTGAAACAATTTGTAAGAAAACTTGAGAACTGTCTGACAGTTTGATTAGCAAAGTTGTCGACATCATAAACCCTATTTAAAAAAATCCTATAATTTCTTTAAAATGAATAAGTAAGAAAGATTGTCTCGTTTCACAGATGTAGACATAATTTTGTTCAAGTTCGTGGTTTTGTTAAATTTGAATGCCTTAAAATTTAGGAACTGTCCAGTCCCAGATTTGAAAGGTGATATATATTGTGTGAAGAATCTAAACGGCAAGGTTTACTTGTTCTTAATAGCAGGAAGAGATACTTCAAGACCGCAGACTCACAATGGCAATGAATTCAGCGCATCCGTGTCTCCATCTCACCATCTGTACAAGTTGAAATTAGAAGGTTGTGTGATCCAAAATTATTTTTCTTTTTTTTAACAAGACTGCAAAGATAATGACATTACAAATGAGACTTATTGCAAACATCCGTCGAACGCATTATAAAATATCAGTTTATTGAACAACCTCGTGGCAAGTGCAGATGACTCTATAATGTTATAATTACCTGAACATTACAACTTCAACAGTTGACTCAACTTTCTCATTTCATTGACTTCCACTTATTAATTAAACCACATGTGGACATAAAGGAGCAAATGAAACCCAAATTTCAGATTTGGACAAGGCCTCAGAAAATGACGTTTATGAACAGAAATATCCGCTCAAAATATTGGTGAAATCCTCATCCCATTAATTAAACTGGTGACTTCCCACAATGATAAGACACATACATATACACTTTAGCACGGCCAGAACATGCATCATTTTGCATGGCAATAACACATGTAATTAATATACAAAACAACATAGTCATAAAACAAATACATAAGAAAATTCGTAAGGAAAGAAAAACCAAATACCAAGTAGCAGCATGGACATACCACATGAAAATAATATACCCAAAAGCATGGGAAAACTGAACATGCACATACTAATTGGCATGGAAATAACAGATATACATATATAAATTTACATGGAAATAACACAAATACATTTACAAATTGGCATGGAAATAACCAACATACTTATGCTAATTGGCATGGAAATAGAATACATACATTTACTAATTGGCATGGAAATAGAACATGGACATATCATAATTGGCATGGGAATAATTCATGCATCTACTAATTGAATGAAAATAACACACATACATAATATACAAATTGGCATCGAAATAACACACATACATAAACTAAAGAGCATACAAATAACCCACATACACATACATATGCTAATTGGCATGAGAATAACACACATACATTTAATATGCATAAAAATAACACAAATTCATATAAAAAATAGCATGGAAATAAAACACATATATTTACTAATTGGCATGGAAATGACACCCATACATTTACTAAATGGCATGGATGCAACACATACATATAGACTACTAATTGACATGAAAATAACACACATACATAATGTTACATATACTAATTGGTATGGAAATAATACACAAACATATACAAATTGGCATGGAAAAACATAAAGACATATACCAATTTGCATGAAAGTAAAACTCATAGATATACAAATTTGTATGGAAATAAAACACATACATATAAAAATTTTATAATGTATAAATTGGCATGGATATTACACACAAAGATACTAATTTGCATGGAAATAACTCATAAATATAGTAATTGGCATGGAAATAACACAAATACATATACTATTTGGCACAGAAAAACACATGCATATATTTTGGCATTTAAAAAACAACAAAATTGCATGAGCATAACACACAAACATATAATAATTGTCATAAGAATAACACACATACATATAATATACTAATTGGCATGAGAATAACTCATATACATAAAATAATTACCATTAAAATATAATACAGATATATATATTAATTGGCATGGTAATAACAAACAAACATTACTAATTGGCAAGGAAATAACCCACACACATATACATGGGTTAGGGCCTAGTCTAGGCCTATTTATAATGTGAGTAGGCCTGGTTATGAATATGTTAACTATGACAGACTATGTATTTATTTAATTTGTTCATAAAGTTATACAGCTTTTGCAAATGTATGACTGTCTTACTTATTACTTACATTAAGTTACATAGACATAGAATAAGTGAATTAGTTCAACTTTATTTTTTTCCATTAATATTTAAGTACTGATAGATTGTTTCTGTTTTAGTACATAAGGAAATCACGAGTTATCTAGTTTTTGCTGCATCTACAATAGTTTGAGAACTGCTAATTGGATTTTTAAATTTTTTTTTTTAAAATGAGGCTATAAATAGACCAATGACCTATTTCATTACCTCCTCACCAATCAAAACTCGACATACATAAATATGGCGACGGGGCGACCGAAGCGTGCATGACGACGAATTGTTGTTGCGACCGACCATCGGTTCAATTCCCTCCTAGTAGGATGGGAATAAGAACTGGTTGTTTTAAGAATTCTCTGCATACCACGTAATGAAATTTTCAAATATATTTAATTAGTCTGCGTTAAATAGTAGTCTTATTTAGTTATTAATACTGTTATTTAGGTTAGGGGTACTCATCCACGTAGTGAGTTCAAATTCTTTTGAACGACCGCGACACTTCCATTTCGCTTACAACACATGCAACTGCGTCGTGTCCATACTTGATCTTAAAAGAGCAGTGCCATTCGTCCACCTAACTTGTTCCAAGGCGTAGCAAATTCTTTTATTTGTTGGCTGGTCGATAGGCCTATCAAATCAACACTAGAATTTCGAAGTTGGATTTGGACTACGTGTTCGTTCAAGCGTTTTTTTTTTTGCGAGTGTGTTCATGTCGACTCGGCTATAAACCTATAGCTATAGCGGCGTTGCAGTGTTAGAAATGAATGACGTTGTATATTGTTTCTTCACGTTTTAAATTTAACATGTAATTATAGAAATAAACTTGTGTTGGTTGCCGTGGGCTCACCATGTATTTAAAATTTAAATGGATGTGGACTAGACTCTTACATCTTAATCTCAGCAGAAATAATTAAAGAGACATGACATAATTTTCAGGCAGGTAGGAGTTACAAATAAGTTACATGATTCATTAGTTATTTTCATAAGATAAACCAGAAACCAGATAATAACATGCTAATCATACATTTACTCTTAATTATAGGTAACTAAAAAACACATCAATTTCAAAATAACAATGAATGTGACCATACATTTTCATTTACATTATCATTGATCATTGAACTGTAGTAGGTCTGTAACTGTTATTCAACAAATTATACTTTTGTAAATTCAAGCTATTGCTAAAAAGATGTAGTATGTAGTGACTAATGTAATTAAATTGGAGTTATAGTTAGGACCTGCTTCTTTTTTGGCATCAATAAGCATTATACTATACTATATGCCCGATTATGTCTCATGATTTATATAGTCACTAGGGTATATTATAGTATTCATTCATATCAAGCTTTTACTCTCAGGAAATTATTTATGATATCTAAATTTAATATAATTTAAAATACCTATAGCAATCAAATGTTAAGCTTATTATTATTTTATTTTTTAAGCACCATGGCTATGACTACAAGAAATGAAAAATACACTTTTATATTGGGGGTATGAACAATCAGGTGATTGGACATTGCCTGATGGCTGATGGGCCGATAGTTGTTCAGGCAGACGTGACAGTCACTACCTGATGCAAAAAAATAAAAAATTGTTATTTTATAACAGTAAAAAAAAAGCTTTTGAACAAAAGACAAAAATATTTACTATATTTTGTGTAAATTATACAGTCTTTAGATACTTACCTCTCTGTCCAACATAAAATCATTTCCATATAATAATAAGTCACTCTTTTTGTAATGGGCATACTAAGTAT